GGCACTTCAAGGAATGCTGGCCTCTTCTTACTGGGATTGGTTAGTAATACATTACTAACGCCATTATACACATTGTGTTGAGTTGCCTCCTCTGTATTTCACTTGACAAACACACATGGACATCACTTTTCTCCCACTTAGCACTCTCCTAAAGAGTGGTTACCTTGGTAGAAATAAACTAGATACAGGTCAGACAGGAGCCACAGGGTGTCTTACACTATAAACAAGTACTCTCTGAGAAAGATACCCGGATGTAAGCTGGACAGTTCGGTTTTAGGCCATCGATCAGGATAAGTAAGCATCCCATGAAAGGCACATCCAGTACCAAACGCTGAGTCGTACTGGGCAAGGCTATAGGTTATAGCCACCATCCAGAGAGGCCTTAACAGGAAACAGAAGTAAAAATAAAATTCATGCTGTGTGATAATTTTAAAACTATAGTTCCAGGAATCCTTGAGAGGGAAAGTAAAAATGGCAAAGCATTACTTGAAAGTTTGCGCTGGAGTCGTAGCTCTCCAAAGATAAAGAAAAATCTCAGGCCTGGTGCAGTGGCTCATCACGCCTGTAATCCCAGCACTTTGGGAGGCCGAGGCGGGTGGACCATGAGGTCAGGAGATCGAGACCATCCTGGCTAACACGGTGAAACCCCGTTTCTACCAAACCCAAAAAAATTAGCCAGGCTGTGGCAGGCACCTGTAGTCCCAGCTACTCGGGAGGCTGAGGCAGGAGAATGGCATCAACCTGGGAAGTGGAGCTTGCAGTGAGTTGAGATCGCGCCACTGCACTCCAGCGTGGGTGACAGAGTGAGACTCCAACTCAAAACAAACAAACAAACATACAAACAAAAACTCTATCTAGAGGATTTGAGCCCTAATAATAGAAATATAAACAGTGATCTCTGTAACTTATTTATGTATTATTTAATTCATTTATTTAATGGGGTTTCACTATGTTGCCCAGGCTGGAGTGCATGGTTATTCACTGGCACAATCATAGCACACTACACAGCCTCAGACTCCTGGTATCACATGATCATCCTACCAACCCTCCCTAGCAGCTGGGACTGACCACAGGGGTGTGCCACCACTCTTTCACAGATACAATTTTTAAATCAAGAAAGTTGCATTTCTTTCTCTTCTTTCCCATAGTCATTCTAATCATGTGAAGAATGATCATACAAATCATTTTATGATTAGTAACTGAATATGTAGATGCATTATGGTTTCCATACAATCTTTTATGCTGTCCACTACTTACTTGGATCAACTTTAGTTTTGGATACTTGAGAAGAAGAATGGGCTTTAGTGTTCCCTGAAGAATAGAGTGAGTAAAATAGAAACTCATCTCATTTATATTTTATAATATTATTGCATTTGTACCATGAGTAGTCAAACAATCTGTTGACCAGTGACATAACCTAATATATAGAAAATCCTAAAATATTCACTAAAATAACATTGAAACAAAAACAAAATTCAGTATGCATGATCAATGTAATAAATTGCATTCTTATACAATAGAAACTAATCAAATAATGACTCTCAAAATAATTTCATGTAACATGGCATCAAAAAGAAAATATATTTGAAAATAACATAATAACTGCAAGATATATATACTGAAAATTACAAATAGTATTGAAGTATTAAAAAATCCTAAATAAATGAATACAAGAATTAGTGTAATATACTATATAAACTAGTTTTTCATTGATCAGTAAGCTATTAAGTATTAACCAGGATGCTTATACTTTCTAAGTACATCTTCAGAATCAATACAAGCCCTACTAAAATTCTAATTTTTTTTCATTTTTAGCAGTTCTTGGACCACTGATTCTAAAACACACAGAAAGATGCAGCTGATCCAGAACAGCCCAAAGAATGTTAAATGTTTTTTACAGAAACTCAAATGATGTTTATAGAAAGTCTGCCCATAGGGAAATGGGGCATAATTTCCTACTTTCTATGAATGCGCTGGGCATAGTGACGTTTTTTCCAAAAGGTACATCATGAAAAGAGGAATAATATTAATTTTATAGTGAAGAAAACTGAGCTACACTGCCTCATCCATGCGATCAAATAACATTAACCATGATAAAGCAGCTGGGCACAGTGGCTCACACCTGTAATCCCAGCACTTTGGGAGCCTGAGGTGAGAGGAACGCTTGGGGCCAGGGCTTAGAGACCAGCCTGGGCAATGTCTTGAGATTCTGCCTCTATAAAAGTAAAAGTAAAATGAAATCACCCAGATGTGGTGGCACATGCCTGCAGTCCCATCTACTCAAGAGGCTGAGGTGGAGGATCATTCAAGCCTAAGAGTTCGAGGCTGCAGTGAGCTTTGTTCACGCCACTGCCCTCCAACATGAGCAATAGAATGAGACCCATCTCAAAAAAAAAGAAAAAAAAGTGATAGAGCATGTTGATACTATGTACTCTTGTCACAGTATCATGAGAATAAAACCTTCCCTCTGTGGTTTTCCTCTGCTAAATCCACACCGGCCACCCAGTCATTAGGAAAACACCAGAGACATCCCAAAGAAGGGATTTCAATGACATCAGAAATAGGAAAAACATGAGAAACTGGCACAAGATACCTAAATGTGATGTGGTGTCCTGAGCGGAATCCAGGAACAGAATATGGACGTTACATGAAAACACAATATCTGATCAATCATGAATGTTGGTGAATGATAACGTATAATATTGGTTCACCAACTGCAACAAGTGTTTCAAATGAATGTAAGAATTTATAAAAGGGAAATTATGTGTTGAGTATATATAAACTCTCTGTATGTACTTCTAACTATTCTGTAAATTCAAAAGTTTTGTAAAAAAAGATTTTAAAAAAACAAATAAATAGCCCGGGCGCTGTGGCTCATGCCTGTAATCCCAAGACTTTGGGAGGCTGAGGCAGGTGGATCACGAGGTCAAGACCATCCTGGCCAACATCGGGAACCCCGTCTCTACTAAAAACACAAACATTAACCGGGCGTGGTGGCGGACGGCTGTAATCCCAGCTACTCGGGAGGCTGAGGCAGGAGAATCGCTTGAACCCGGGAGGCGGAGCTTGCAGGGATCCGAGATTGTGCCACTGCACTCCAGCTTGGCAACAGTGGGAGATTCCATCTCAAACAAAACCCAAAAAACCAAAAAAACAAAACAAGCAAACAAAACAAATAAATAAAACATATGTATTTTTAAAATTATACTATTGAGCTTAGTAAGCAGTACACTGTCGATCTTGTAGTGTCCCAGGTGCTCACTTCCCTATTCCTACCCTTTTTATTACCCTGGTGAACATTACCATTATTTTTAATTTTCCTTTTTCCATTTGCAAACTTTTCTTTCTTAGTTTTGGTCTCTAAATCTGTATTTGTAAATAATGTCCTGTTCGCTGTTTCTTGTCTTCACAAATAGACAATTACATGTCTCTATCTATATGGCTCAGTAAAATCATGAGAAACATTCAGAGAAATCCAGATTCTGATACATTTTACAAATTATGTGACCTGTTTTCTCACAAAGGCCAAGATCAGCAAAGTAAGTGAGGACTGAGAACCTGTCTCAGATTAAGAAAGACCTGATGTTGGCAGGTGAGCGCTGAGATGGTGCGCAATGATCCTCACAGCTTGGTGTACATAACCCAATATTCTAATCCTTTCCTTTTGACTTTGCGGAGAAACCGAGACTTGCTTTGATACATCAGAAAACTACAATGTGATAGGACGTCACTTGAATAATCATGTTACCTAAGATTATGATACCTGTCTTGCTGCAAGCTCTTTCCCATGGTGGCTTTGATGACACATTCTGCCATGGGAGAGAAGCCAACATAGGAAATAACTGAATGCAGCCTCTGGCCACAGACAGCAAAAAACTGAGGCTCCCGTTCCAGTATCCTGCCCTAGAGGTTGCAATTTATATTTACAACTAATCTAAGCTCCTTTCATATAAAATCATACTGCTTCAGAAGTAGTGTAACCATCTTACAATAGTTCTAACTGTTTCGTCCTTTTTCCTGTATTTTTCCTTTTGTCCCTCTTTTCCTTTCATTTTACTTAGAAGTGTGTATATATATCTTATACTTACAAAAATATAATTAAATAAATTGCTTCTTTTTTTTTTTTTGAAACAGAGTCTTGCTCTATCACCCAGGCTGGGGTGTAGTGGTGCATTCTAAGCTCACTGCAACCTCTGCCTCCCGCATTCAAGCGATTTTCCTGCCTCAGCCTCCTGAGCAGCTGGGATTACAGATGTGTGTCACAACGTCCAGCTACATTTTGTATTTTTTTTAGTAGAGATGGGGTTTCACCATGTTGGCAAGGCTGGTCTCGAACTCCCCACCTCAGGTAATCCACCCACCGGGGCCTCCCAAACTGCTGTGATTGCAAGCCTGAACCACCGACCCAGCCTTGCTACTATTTTTTTGAAAGGCACCTGTCTGCTATTGAATATAATTATTTTAAATATGCTGTTATATGTAAGATCAACTAAGAATATGAAAATTATAAGCTTTTCTTGAGTAACTAATAAAAAGTATTTAAAAGTCTGAGATGTTAAGAAAGAATATTGAATTATATGAAATGCTGAATAAAAACCACAAAAAAAGGAAAATGAATAGAAGACAAAATTGGAAACAGGGGCAGCGCAAAACGAGAAGACAGTAACAAACATGGTGAATATTCATCCAACTGTATCAATAATCACTTTGTAAAAGTGTCAAAACCTAATTCAGAACAATCATAATCAGAATATCAAGATATGTGTGAGTTAATTTAGGAATTAATTTCAATACTGCTTTCATTTGTATATGAATAAAACGTAAATTTAAAACTCTAGACGAACTTTTTCAGTAAGTGTAAATAAGTCTATTATGTGTATAAGAGTTTAGATAGAGATATTATTATTTCTTTGAGATCCTACTTAAGTCTTTGATTCATTGACATGCTGTGGATGTCCCCAACAAGACTACTACAGACATTACATATTCACCAATCTGACCTTCCCTTTAGTGATACAAAGGCCAGCTCGCTTGTCCATTTTTCTCTGTGAGTCTGGTGCACGTTGTTCCTTACTCAGCTTCACACTGACAACTACATCCATATAGGCGGTGGTACAGTAATGATGGAGTAACTGCAGGAAGAATGAAACAAAATGTTGTGGTAAAACTTATGGGGATTGGACATGGCATATCACATTTAAAAATGGATGATTCATCTGGAAGGATGGATTGCAAGACAGTGCACATCAAACAATGAAGGACAGTGACATCCGAGAGAGGCGAAACAATGAGGGTTTACTGTTGCCTCAGGTTACTGCTTGGGGAGAGTTTCCAGGCTGTGGTGTGACACGGACTCTGGAAGACAGTCGGAGTTGAGAAGATAGAACTGACTGGAGAAAGAGGTGGCTGAATTTCATGAGGGGGGAGCACTCAGGCCAATACCCATGCAGGCTGGACTGTGGTGCCATCATTACTCCACTCAGACATGGTTCACAGGAGTACTGGAGCAGTACAGAAACAAAAAGCAAAGATACAAAGAAAAGTAATTTAAATGAATTCTTTAACAAAGAATAATTCACCTTTATGCTTTCATCTCATGTATGACTACAAAAACACAAAGTTTTCCATGACTCAGTGATCCTGCATCAAGTCCAAGGATGAAGGATATTTTTAGAAATAAAGTAAATGGTTTATTAGGTAGATTAATGACCCTGTGTGGACACCAACCTGCCTTTCCTATGTTATGCTGCTAGTTGTGGCTGGTAAAATCACTACATTATGAAATAATTAAAGTACAATTGTCTACTTATAAGACAACATTTCTCACCAAAAGGAGAAGCCAATAAAGGTTTCTTCCTTCACTGATTTTCCTTAAAAAAATCTCCAGTTACCTTTGCACTTCAAAACTATTTTTTTCTCTGTTCGTCACTCCATGAATGCCACAGGCTGTGTAGTTTGCATGAAGTACAGGGTGGCTCTTTAGACACAGTGAAATTATGTCAAATTGTAATCCAGTATAGCATTTTCCTAAAAATTACCTGTGTATTTTTTCTCTTTCTCACTGTTCACCTCTTGCTTAGCTCCTTAGAAAGGCAAATTTAACCTTTTCCTTCCTTCGTTTCCACCAGTGAAACAACCTGCAAGGACTGCCAGCTTATCTAAGTATGTTTCCTTAGAAATTCTAAGGACCAAATGTTGAATGGAAGCGGCACCATCCAGAATTCTCCCTCACAGGGAGCCTGTCTCAAGACAAGAGTTAATCCACATTCCGACTCTGTCCTCAATGACACTGGTCAGACTAACCAATGACCTCTTAGCTAAGTTTTACAGCAAGACACATAGACCCCGCACCTCCATGTTCCTTGCACGCCCTGCATAAGAAAGTTTCTCTTCTTAAAACCCTGCTTTCTTCCCAGAAAACTGAAGCGGCTCCTTTAGGTACGAACCTGGTTCTTCTCCATTGCTAAACTGTGAAATAAAGTCACTTTCTTTTTACCACCCTCATGCTTGTTATTTGATAGTGTCAGTGACAAGTGGCCAAACCTGTGTTTGGTAACAAATTTGGTGGCCCATATGGGGAGCATTATATGCTCTGGGCAACCCAAGCCTGTGAGCCTGGTTTTGCTACCAAGGCGGAGGGTTACCTGTGAGTACCAGCAGCTGAAGGCTAGCGGACCCCATGGCAGGAATGTTAGGGAACTTCCAAGTGGCTGCTGAAAATCTTTCATTTCCTAGACCCTCCCTTTCACTTCATCGCACAACTTCTGCAGCCATCGACACTTTGCTGGTACAAAGAATGTGATCTCTGAAGAAGCTGGCAACCCTTGCAACCAAGTGAGCTGGTCGGATTGCACCCAGCTTTCCCGTGTCTTCTGGGGTGTCGCTGGGGCTCTGCTGTTTCGTCTTGTCCACTAACGGGACTATCACTTGAGTGTTTGACGGATTTGAATTTGTGGCACTCCTGGACATCGCTCCACTTGGTTTCAGATACCTGTGGAGCTGTTTTGAACAGAGGAAAGAAATTCAGGATTCTACCCAGCCCTTAACTGGGGTTTGTTTGGAAGCTCACCATTTGTTTGTAAGTGTGAGTGTATGACCTTTGAGTGTGGGCCCTGGTCTCTTCCTATCCTTTTCACTTTCAACTTCATCTTCCTGATTATCTTGGAAGCCACCTACAGCCTTACTCATCTCAGTCAAAGGTACCCCTAGCTCTCGCCAGCTGTAAACAGTTTCCTTTGCCCATGACTTGCAAAGGTGGGAGGGATTCGTCTCACACTGTGCATGTCCAGGGTACTGGGGCTCTCCCTGATGGGATGTCAGCAAGAGTGGTGGGGATACCAACCCTATACCATGCAGCAGCTAGAAGGTTCACAAACCTCCTTTTCTATCTTTTTCTCTTTCCCTCCTTTGCAGAGGCCTGGCAGGAACTTCATATTCTCATTCTCTTTGGGATTTCAGCTGGCTACTTATTAAGACCTACTTTTGTGAACATTTTAAACAGAGAGGCAAACTATAGCAAGAAAACTTGACAGCTCAAATGGTTAACTGCAGCTATTAAGTGAAGCAGAGTCATCAAAACCTCTTTCTTCCTCTGTTTTCTTTTCTGCCTGCTTCAGATTGGCTGTTACTAAGCTGTTGGTGCTGTGATAAGACACATTATTTACTGACTAACTGGAAAGCAAAAACAGGAAACTTGTTTAAAACTGAAGGAAAAAAAAAGGTAAAAGATGCTTTTTTAAAAACAAAAGTGCCATAAAGATTGCTTTACTCAAATTTTGGTTCACAGCTTTCATAGAGTATATATTGGAGAAAACACAATTTAGCCATGGAAACAGGTTCCAGTTTTGTCAGACGATAACGTGTATCCAGCTATTTTTTATAAAATACTGAGTGTGGACTGTTACTTTATGGTTAGAATCCCAGGGTAAAAGCTATGAGACCTTTGCTTGTGTGTGTATACCTGTTTAGACATGTTTGTGTGTATGTACATATGTAGACATGTTTGTATGAACATATGTAGATGTTTGTGTGTATATACATATGTAGACATGTTTGTATGTACGTATGTAGACATATTTGTGTGTATGTACATAAATATACATGTTTGTGTGTACATATATAGACATGTTTGTATGTACATATCTGGACATGTTTATGTATGTACATATGTAGACATGTTTGTATATGCATGTGTAGTCATGTTTGTGTATGTACATATGTAGACATGTTGTTATGTACATATGTAGACGTGTGTGTATATATGTATGTAGACATGTTTGTGTATGTACATACGTAGATGTTTGTGTGTATGTACGTATGTAGACATGTTTGTGTGTATGTACATATGCAGACATGTTTGCATGTACATATGTAGACATGTTTGTGTATGCACATATGTAGACATGTTTGTGTATGTACATATGTAGACATGTTTGTATGTACATATGTAGACATGTTTGTATGTACATATGTAGACATGTTTGTGTGTAGGTACATATGTAGATGTTTGTGTGCATGTACATATGTAGATATCTGCATGTACATATGTAGACATGTTTGTATGTACATATGTAGATATGTTTGTGTATATGTACATAAGTTGATATGCTTGTTTCTATGTACATATGTAGACATGCATGTGTGCACATATGTAGACATGTTTGTGTGTATGTACCTATGTAGATATGTTTATGTGTTATGTCTAGCCTGCTACCAAATTGACTTACAAGTAAATAAGCGCTCATAAGTCAGGAAGCTTTTCAAGTTCACATAAATTTAATAATCCTTGACAAATAAAACTTGTTTTAAGATTACTGGTGACATAATATTAGAAATATCTTCAAAATGATCAGCATATTTTTATCTGAGTTTACTGAACAAATGGTTTTGTATTTATCTCTGTCTATATATTAAGGTGTCAGGATATGACATAAAGCCTATAGGACCATAAACCCAGCCAAAAACAGAATAATTTTTGTTTGTGTGATTTTATAGATCAGTTAGACTAATTTAATATCAGTAGTTCAATGAAAACAGTTAAATCTTCTGTGCTATTAACAAAATGCGCATATATTGAACTTTAAGGTTCCTACTTAGGTAAAACACCTTATGTGCACAGACTTTAAAAATGGGTAATAGGGACATAACTAAATAATTACTACTTTTGGGTAATATCCCAGTTTTCAAAAGTACTCTAGGTAAACTGTTAAAATGGAAAAACTGAGTACACGTCAATGAGATCAATGGTTCTAAGTGAAATTTTTGTATAATTTAAAATCTTAAAATCATTTTGGATGCTTACTGGATGTCTGGGTCAATTCCAATTAAGAAAGGGTTATTATATAGAGAAGACTGTTCTAAAAATTGTGAAATGTTTCTCATCTATACAACACTAATATCTGATAGTTCAGGATTTTTTTCTAGGTTTCTATAAAATGTGCCAAAGAAGAGGTGTCCTTATTGAGAAAAAGAATTATTTTGTCTAATTCAAAAGTTTAAAAGTTGATTCAAATTACGAGTTTGAAAAGGTTATTTATGAAACTAACTAGAAAGAAAGCAGTAAATGGTGAAGAGAGATGTGAAGAAAGATATAGACAAGAGCATGTATTTTTGGTAAGGAAGGTTATCAAGAAAAAAGAGCAATTTTATACGAGAAAGAATCTTGCATGGTAAATTATTCTCCTAAAGTAAAATGACTGGTTATTTAAGAAACAGGTTCTTATTACAAGGTTAATCTAGAAAAAGAAAATCAAAAAAAATTTTAAAAAGAAACAGGTACCTTAGGACAAGTATACAGTCCAACCATGTGACAGATGGTCTGTGTAAGTCATGATAAGGCTTGTGAAGGGGAATTTATAAAAGGAATTTTGTATGTAATTAAGTTAGGTATAATTAAAAAGGAATTGTTTATAATAGTCTTTCTAAAGAATGGTCCCCTATATTAAACCAATATTTTCTTAAGGTATCAATTTGCGCTTAATAAAATGACAAGAAATTTTGATTTTCTATTCCACAATCGATTTCTTTCGAAAACTTCTGAGATTCATATCTCAAATGATCAATTGTTGTCTTGCTGCTATCAGTTTTTTCTCCCTTTGACGTGGCCTGGGATAACTCTATCCTACAGCTTCCTCTCAGCTCCTGTAACTTTCCTTAGTTCTAAATGTTGTGGCCTGGTGCTGAAATATTTTATCTTAGAGGTCTATAAAACCAGTGTTTTCCTCCAGGATAACTTGATTCTATATTCTTGGGTTTTTGTTTTTTGTTTTTGTTTTTTTTTTTTGGTGTGTCTAAATTTTCACTGTCATCAGGAAAGTTACCATGCAGCTACTAAGAGTCATCTGTTCCCCAGTTCTACTCATAACTGTGTACACACTCTTCCCATGTTTGATTAAACTCAAGCACTTTTTATTATAAGTTGTACTTCCAGATTATCTAACCAGGCTTTCCCCTAAGGAGAGGCAGTTGCACTAAAAAGGATTTTCTTTTGACTTTTTGGTAACTGCCTTAAGAAACAAGAGTTTACATTTCATCAAGATAGTTCCTACGTTGCCTTTAGAAAGTGTTTAATTGGTTTAAAAAAAACCTATGAAATTTGAAAGGCGTAAGGTTTTTACACATGTGTAACTTTCTGTATTGCCTTTAAAGTCTTCCAGTGATCACTTTGGTTAAATGAATAACTATTGTTTTACAAGGACCTGTAGTTTGCTTTTGATCAAATATTTTAAGCTTTCTAACACATTTGACAGACATCTCCAAAATTGAATTCTAAATTAAGTCTCTGACATATTGCTGGGGCTTATCAAAGCTAAAAATTATTAATCACGGTGAAGTGTATCACCACCTCCAACACCCTGAAAAACTTCTTATCAGGTGCTATTAACTAATCTTTGTGGTGTTAAGGTACAAGGAATTGACTCCTGGATACATGTAGCTCCTCTAAAGAAGACACAGACTCCTGCCAGCATCTAACATCAAACTCAAGTTAACCAAAGCCTCATCTTTAGACTCAAGGAAAGGCAATAATCAAAGTACACTGCTTTCATGCAACACAGGGACAGGCCTGTATTATACTTTATTCAATAATTTTGCTTCTATCTGAAATAGAAATATATGAAATATCATATAATTTATTTTGTGCCTTAATAACAAATAATTTAAATGTTTAGTTACCTATAGGCTTCCTTTCCTGTCACTCTTTTTTTTTTTTTTTTGAGACAGAGTCTTGCTCTATTGCCCAGGCTGGAGTACAGGGGTGCAATCTTGGCCCACTGCAATCTCTACCTCCTGCTCAAGCAATTCCTCTGCCTCTGCCTCCCGAGTAGCTGAGACTAGAGGCACGCACCACCATGCCCAGCTAATTTTTTGTATTTTAGTAGACACAGGGTTTCACCATGTTGGCCAGGATGGTCTTGATCTCCTGACCTCGGGATCCGTCCGTCTCGGTTCTGTCACTCTTAGAAGAAGACAATGCTTATGGCATTTTTGCTTAAAATGTTGCTAATGGTGAATATTTTGTTTTTTTAATATATCCAGAATTTAAAACCGTTCAGTTCCTCCAGACCCTGGGACTATCATGGAAGATACAAATGTGTGAGATTGTAAGGGCCGGTTCTTGTGAGATAAAATTAATTCAGACCCCCAAATCAAGGATGGGCACACAAATGCCTAAACAGCTAAATAAAATACTTATGTTTTGTATAGCTAGTGAGATCATTCCTATAAGCCAAGATTACAATAGTTCAATGCATACAATTCATAGACAATTCAGTTATATAACCTTACCTTTTGACTTTTAGTTGTTGGCTCTTACATTGCTTAAAAGGGGTTTTAAGGATTAATGGCTGCCTGCCCACCTTCATTCCAGTCTGGTCTACAACATCTAATTGGATATAAGACTTTTGATTCTCAGTCCCACCATAGTCGGTGCAGCAAGGAACATGATGGACCCAGGTCAGGTGGCATGTCACTGTGGCATTGACATGAGAAAAAATAAAAGCGTGGCTACCGATACTGCCTCTGGCATACCTTGACAAAAAAGAGGAATATAAACTATAAAATAAAATCCTAAGCCCTTGCCAACTTAATGGACACTCCTTACCCCCATATTAGCCACAGCAACTTGAAAAACTAACTCAGGCCATGACAACAAGAGGGGGGTTGAACATGCTTCACTGTATCTTCCTCCCACTATGGGAATTTAGGCACAACTGATCAGCATTAATGTTACAATAGAAATTGTAAAACAGACTGTTTATAACAATAAAATTCCAAATTATGAACAGGATTTAGGAACATGCAAGAGTTAAGTCACACATTCCTACACTTTTAAAAAGCAGACTACGCTCACACTTGCCACAAGGTTTCTGTGTTTCTCTAGCAGCAAAACAAGCACTAGCCTCAAGATAAGCTGACTGACTGACCCTAGCCACTGTTCTACAGCTTAAAGTAGACAAGAGACCAATTTCAGTAACTTTCTCCTGATGAAAGATCACTGACCATAAACCAGTTTTGGCCGGTTTACAGTAAATGCACACTTGCATACCTTTGTCCTCAAAAGAACTTTTGAAATATAGGGCATAATTATAATACATTTAAAAGTTAAGTCTCTGCCCCAAAATAAATGAGTCATATGTTCCATGGATATTTGTTAATACACATGGGTCAGGACCACCTTCATGAATATTTACAGCTCCTCCTGTAGCCTGTTAAATATGTATAGTTAACCAACTTGTCCTCATATCTCCACAGCAGCTCTGGGTGCAACTGACACTTGGGGCTTTGCACCATAATTAAGACTAAATGCTGTGTGTATTCCTGGATAACTCCAGAAACATATCCTCAACCCTAAAAGACATGCACAAGCCAACTAATGCTATGCCTAATCTCATGATGTCTTTAAATCATATGGCTTTAGATATCTTCACTGCAGCCCGGGGTGGCACTTAACATTCATTAAGGATGACCATTTTACACACACACACACACACACACACACCCCAGATTATTCTTACAATAT